TACGATTTACTAGACGAAGATCCGAGCCAAAGGCATTTACAGCATCAAATGAGGTGTGAAGAGCTGAGAAACAGAAAAGGAGAGAGAAGGAGTCACATCTTTAGCTTTATGAGAGCGAACAGTAGCACGCTTGTTGCTTTTCATTGCATGGACGCATTTACCCACGAGAGGAACCACACTGGAACGAGCCTCTGTTACGACACCACCAAAGCAAAGACAAACATATATCGACTCAACCTAGTCAGAAGAAACACAACGTGGTCCAACCAGACCATAAACATCTGAGATTTTATAATCGTAAATCTTCAAGCATTTTTCTGCTGTCAGGCCAACTCTCCCTGAGACCCAGCAGGGTTTCACTGCCAACGCCAAGACTGGGAGAACAACAACCGCATTCATAAAGGTGCAAGAGTGCCTCAAATATAAACCCCATTCACTTCACCTGAGGTTCTGAGGACACAGTTCTGTTATAAACCTAGTGAGCTGCCGACCTAGACATCACTAGCCAAGTTTCCATCCACTTGTCAATCGAATTATCAGAAGTTCGGTAAAAAAAAACTCATGCGAATAAATCTGCTGAAAGTGCGTTTCGACCCAACGGCTTTAAAGCGAATAAAAATCTGTGCTTAATGACATCAAATGCTGTTTTGCGAATTGATTTGAGTCATTTTAAGGTGTTTCCATTCATTTTTCAACATTTGCGAACAAAGTTTTGCTAGACAAAATGGATTGCGCCATCTACCAACAAATGATCAATATTGCACAAGTTGTAACCTCATAGCTGACCAACTCTCACGCATTGGCCGTGCGCCCGGTCGGTCCATAGCGGTCAACCCTCCCGTTTTTTCCGGGTTTCTCACGTATTTTAGCTCTTTTGCTGTCTTCCCGTTTTAGTATTTTCCAGTAAAATATCCCGTATTTTTACGCTCCAATTGTGTGAGACGTACAAGCTCGGACAGATTCGGCTTGAAGTCGTTTATCCTCGGCTGCGGTGCCGCGCGCGCTGTCACAAAAAAGCTTTGCACACAGCTAAGGGAAATGAGGTCTTGCCGGTCTTGCGCGCCCAACGCGTCATTTTTACCGCGCGTCGAGTATAAACAAGGCTTTTCAGCACGAGCTCTGATCGGTAAAGGTGCACAGACCTCTCCCAATCATCTCCTGCAGAAGCAGCCTCCCCGTTTCCCTCGTAAGCTGATATTAGTATTTCTCGTGGGAAAGTCAAGAAAATTGACTAATTAGGATGATATAAAATGGTTTATATATTTATTAATATAAATAAATAATAAATTTAACAACACATTACTGAGTAGTACAGCAGATAAATTATGATATTTTGTAAAGAGAAAACAGTAGCCGTTTCAAAGCTAGATTTGTTAAAGGGTAAGGCAAATATAAGTTAACTTCTTCCTTCCTCTTTTTTTCTATATTCTTTTTCTTCTCTTTTGAACATGCTGAGATTTTGTTTCCATTATTTTTTGTTTAAATATGTTCTGTTGCTAATGATCATGTTCTGAAGAGGAAAAGGAAATTCATTCAGATAATGTAACTAGTTTTAGATTTATAATATTTTTTCCAGTGTATAAATCTGGTGTTTATAAAAGACAGGGGCATGGGGGTCTGTGGCATCTAAAAGAATAAACTTGTAAATGCTCATAATATGGGCACTATTATATAATACGGCTGCCAGCGGATGTGCAAAGGCATCACGGTTGAAAGCAGATGAATTTTCCTGACAGAGCCAAAGGGAAGGCGGCGTCCCACAGGCCCCAGGCCTAATCCCTCAGAGAAAAGCCCTGCATTTAGGCCCTAGTACACTTAATCCAGGGCCCCTGTTCACAATACACTCCAGATCTTCCTCTGGCCACTGCGCTTCCGCTCAGGGCCCGTCCGGGTGCCATGAAAAACACAAAGAGAAAGAGAGGTTAGGAAACGACGACATATGGATGGTTTCAGCGAATCAAACTTGAGCAGTGATTCCCGTGAAGCGTCCATGCGATCATCACTGTTGATTGAGCGATATAAAAAATATCTGAGAACATCCGGCTGCCAAACTAAACAAGACGCTTCCAAAAGCACAAAAATCAAAAATAAAACCACAAAATTAGAAAGTTGACCCCTCCTGCCAGGATGCAGCCCTCATACGAGTCCAGAGAAGAAACACTCATCTCTTTCTTGTGTCCGTGCCAGCACAAACATGTATAAAGCGCACGTACGTATCACATACACACACACACTGGTGGGCATTGTGAGTGTATAGATGGAGCCCCCGTGGCGAGAGGAAAACAAGCTTCTCTGAATGGACAGATAAAGGAGCCCAGAGGAGAGATAATGTCTACAGGGGACGTGCCTGTGTGCCACGTTTATTCTGATGCACCAAAAGCCCAAATATTTCAAATCCATGAGTCAACCCAGATCTGAGATTTGATTAGATGGGATGAAAAAAATAAATAAATGGTCCCACAGTGACAGAAGGTAATTCTATGGTACTCGCCAAGTCTGCATTTATTCGATCAAAAATTCAGTAAAAATTGTGGAATATTATTACAATTCAAAATATCTTTTTTTCTACGTGAATATATTGTAAAATGTCATTTATTCCTGTGATCAAAGCATGTATTTTCTGCATCAATCTTCAGTGTCACATGATCCTTCAGAAATCATTCTAATATGATGGTTTGCTGCTCAAGAAACATTTCTGATTAATAGTTTTGCTGCTTCATATTTTTGTGTCAATTTTGAAAGGGATTCTTTGATCTTTGAAAAATAAATCGTTTGTAATATTATAAATGTATTTACAGTCACTTTTTATCAATTTAATGCACCTTTGTTAGATAAATAAATAAAAAAAAAACAGTAGTTAACTAGTGCTGTTTGAGTGCCACATTTATATCCCCTAGTTTAGTGAAAAATACTTTAGTAGAAAACTAGTAAAAGTAAGTAAGAACTACTTTAGTAGAAAAATAAATCATTTGTAACAATATAAATGTATTTACAGTCACTTTTTATCAATTTAATCCACCTTTGTTACATAAATAAAAAAAAATAAAAAAAACAGTGGTTCACAAGAGCTGTTTGAGTGCCACATGTATATCCCCTAGTATTTTAATAGAAATGCAAAGAATAGCATGGTATTAGCATCATTAAATAGTTTTTATGTTTAATACGGTATAAAACTGTAATCAAGACCGTTCAAATAACAAAAAGCTAACCTCACCATGCTCAACTCATCTAAATAATCTGATTGGCTGAACCCAATGGCAGTGGATTGAGTGGGATGACGGCAGAATCATTACCAGAGGTTACATTACATCCTCTCATCTCATTCCATGTTTACCGTTTTCCTTTTCTCCGCTTCCCTTTGGTTCATGTGGCCTATCCGTGCGGAAACCCGGCGGTTAATTCCATGAAACTTGAAGAGAGTCTGAGAGCAGAGAAAAATCTTCACCAGCGCCACAAAGCAACCAGTGTTTCTGTCCTGTGGTCGCCACTCGATGGTACTAAACTTCTTGTGCGCTATGAGCTCGGTAGAGGGGATTTACCAATGTTTGTGTGTTTGAACATGCTTTAAACAATATCAGAGACTGAAATAAGCGGATTACAGTGGATGGAAACGATCTCGGATGTGTCCCGAAACCTGAAAAATGATACCTTTGCAGGCAGAGTACAGAGGAATGAAGGCACGTCTGAATCCATAAGATCTTTTCTGCTCGTACTCTTAGATGGCAGCGTAGATATATCCTTCACCATCTTCAATATCCCACAATCCTGCAGAAACAAAGGCTTCTAAAGGAGCAAATGAAAGAAGAAACGAATTGAAATTGAAACATTAAATGAGAGGCTGATCGGATTTAATGAGGATGCTAAAGCAGGACTCAATGATTTTGTCTGTCATCTCAAATAGCCTGTGTCTCACAGCCCTCTTAAACATACAGTAAGATCATAGCCAAATCTTCTATAATGGTAAAGTGACGCCCGCTGTTTTTCCAGTCCACATACACAGCACAGAGACACTAAAATAGTGCGGCAGCGCCAACAGAGAACCGAGAGCCTAGAAGAGAAAGATAAAACACAGTTACAAAGGCATGTAGACGACACACACCCACTGACGACACTGATGTGATTGTTTGACTTCCAGATTTAAGAGCGTACAGGATAGTCTACCTCATGTTTACAGCAAACACTTCTGAAGAAAACTTATCACTAGATTCCACAACGCTCACCAGGTTAAAGCCCCCGTGAAATCAAAATTAAACCTATTTACTTTGTTAGCGCATATTACTAGTCTTGGGGTGAACAATTAATCCGTGCAAGTAAATATATATTAAAAAATGTTTTACCTTGGTAATCTTTAATCAAAATCTGAAAAGTTACTTCCGGTCTGGAACGGTTTCTTTTTCTGATGACGTAGGTTTCACAGTTTGGGTGGGGAAACGCTTAACCACTCCCCTCAAACCGTTAGTTTGCTATGAGCGAGAGATGGAGAGGAGGAGCGCTAGAGTAAAACCCTGCCCTCTGTTCAATATTCCGCTTCACTTGGAAATACGTCACAGCACTGGAGAAAAATCGTTTGCAACTTCCGGTTCACGGGGACTTTAACAGCAACAAATCTTTTAATAACACTTTGTTACACCAAATGTTACACCAGCCGAATCCCGGACATTTTGGGCGATCTCGAAACACATTTTCGGGCAGACTCATCGCGGACACTCACTAGTAGCCTAGACTTGTTGTTTAACTACTGCGCTCTGTTACCGGTAGGCGTGGCTTCCTAGGGTAGCGAAGCAAGTGCATTCTGGGAGTTGTTGTCTTTCATCCACATAAGCCAAAAATACATTTCTCAGTCTAGAAAGCTCCAAATTCAAAAATAATTTCACATTTCTTCTACATAAATCACCCATTTTAAATACACATTCATCTTTCCAGAGGTGAGTATCCCTTTAAATACAAAAAAAGGTGTTTTGAGTCCCACAAATTTCAACAAATCGAGACCAAACCAGTTGTTATTTTATCATTTTTTTATTTTACTTGAAACAAAACAATAAAAGCACTCGAGTTATTACTTCAACTGAAAGACAAAGTGAGAAAAGAAAAAATGAATGGATTCAACTATCCAAGTCGTGTGCAGTATAATTTTCATTGTGTTATAGCACTTAATTTGAATGGTATTAGTAGCTTTAGAAGAATATAAATATCAGGGACATTAAACACTTTGGGAAAGCAGTGATTATGTCACAAAAGGCCAAAAGTTTCAGGGCAACCGCAGTCTAGAAATACCATCCAGACACGACATATACAGTATTCAGAATTAGGGCGGCACATCATATCATATTATCTATAGCTAGTTAAGATGTGCTCAGTGAGTTGTAAATGAGTAATACTCTGGGATACATAACACGTGTGCCTGGTCGTTGCGTGTTGAATGTGCGCAAGTGGGATTATTGCAAAGCGCTGCTGGCGAGATAATATAAAAGTAGAGTTCATCGAGATTACGAAAGACGGGGTGAGTGAAGCAATCCACGGCAGTACAAAAAAAGAAAGCAAACAGTACACACAGATGGGGAAAATACTTCTGGAGGAGGAAGACGACAAAAACAAAGAAAAGCAGACAAATATACAATCAGGGAGACAATAAACAGACAGGCCTACAAACACTTACATGTTTTGAAAGACAGAGAGACAGATGTTTGTAAGGTACTGTATAAAGGGGCTCTAAGCTCTGTAAAGCAGAATTCTCTCTGCACACGACTGGCCCACCAGACTAGCGTATTGCTCCACTTCTTTCTCGTCGTTCGAACCCTTCCGCTTACGGGCGTAGGCCGCATAGGGCATCACTGTCCTCCTGTGGAGCACTAACGCCCGGCCCAGGTCCTTCAGCGCAGAAGCATCACCTACAGAAGGACAAATAAACAGGAGGATCATTACAAATTAGCAACTACCCAAAACACCCTTACAACCATGTCGAATCACACAGATAAGCAACAGCATGACCTTAAAGGGGTGGTATAAAGCGCTTTTCACAAGATGTAAAATAAGTCTTTGATGTCACTAGAGTGTGTGTGTGAAGTTTTAGCTCAAAATATCCCACATATATTTTATATAGCATGTTAAATTTGCCACTTTTTGAGGGTGAGCACTTTTTTTGTCTGTCCCTTTAAATGCAAATGAGCTGCTGCTCCCGGCACAGGGGGCGGAGCTTCAAGAGCTCCAAGAGCTCGTGTCCTTCTCCCTCACACACCGCTGCACTGAAAAAAATGTTCAAACCGTCAATGTTCAATGTTCAAAACGATGGAGAGACTCATGAAGTAGTGTCAACATTTCTGAATGGTTAGTTGGTGAAATTTACGTAGCGTTTGTGTAGTTATATTCTAGTCATTGATTAGCATATTCTGTCTTGATAATCTATAAATCGTGTTCCGGGGGCGGGGTTTATGTCAATTTTAAGGTTGGTGATGTCACTAACCCGGAAGGAAGCTTTTGTAGTCCCTACCAGCCAAGCGTTTTCTTTAAAAGCAAATATCTCCCTTTGCTTTGAACTTTGAGCGTCGTTACTTTGCAGATCAAACGGCAACATTGCAAACACAAACTAAAATTAGAAAAGTGAAATCATATTCAACCACCCCTTTAACTTTTGAACGGGCAAACACCAAGCACATTTTCACTTTTGCCTAAAAATATTGGCTAGGTAAGCAGCTCACCAAGACTTTGTGTACACTACACTACTTCAATTTTACATTCGTGACTGAAACAACGTGTAGTTAAGTCACTGGGTGGAGGGATACACATCAGTGCACAAAGTCTTAACTCACCCTCAAAGGGTTCAAACGAGGGTCAGGTGCAGATTCCAACGAACAATTACCTAGGTATGATGATGAACAAGGATCTTTCCACCCTTAGGCAACAACACCAGGTCAGCTAGGGTTACTACAGCTTGACCTCAATCGTCACAAACATAAGAGCAGAATCGTTCCAGAACCAGCAACTCAGAGCAGCCAGAGACGTGTAACAATGACTCCTTCAGTGAAGGAACAGCTCGGTCGGTTCTCATTTGTTTATAGGACTTCACTCCACTCCGGCAAGCCAAAATTCAGACACACATTGCGTATTCAGTCATGAAGCCAACACCTTCCCCCATGAGCTGTTAAAACAAGAATTGCTGCAAAAAAAAGAATGCAGTCATTTGTAGGAGCCCGAAAATGGCCCTCCAAGGCAGCGGGAGGTCAAAAAGGGGAGAATGAACTTTCTAGGCCAGGCTGACTAACCCAATTGAAGAATTACAACGTCAACTCAACGACATTTTTAAGTTTTGAATGTTGCAATCATAGATGCAAAGAATTTAGATATACAAATCTATACAACAGTCATATTAATTATGAATGAGAGAAAGTGCAACGCACAATATGGTGGAGTAAGCCCCGCCTTCTAAATAATAGAGCCAATTGATAGTCAATTAGCTGGTGTTAGAAGCTCCGCTGGCCTTGCCTGAAAAATAAGCTTTTTTAATGCCACGTGAGCAAAAGAAACAACATTTATGAGACAGTTATTGTCAGACTTTGGTGAATTCAAATATGAAAATTTAATAAGTTTGGAGAATTTGTGTTTCCCCCATGTGTAGTGCCATATATTTATACAGTGTATAAAGGCAGAAAGTGCTGAGAAAATAACAGAATATTGCAAATGTGCTTTGCCATAACAAACAGTGACAGAAATATACAAACTATAGGCCACTAGCCTTAAACAGAGCTGGAGAAACAGAAGAGAAAATAAACACAGGGATATGCAAAACTCCAGGCCAACAGTGACAGATGAGTAACAATATATCGCTCTAGCGATTTTTTTAGTGAAAGTTATGATTGTTATTAACAGATCTGACACCAGCTCATGGCTCTCGCTCTGTGAAGCGCCTCATCTGGAAGCCAGCTGACAGAGATTTCATGGGGGATGCTGGGTAATGTAAATTAGTCCTCATCATTTCACACACACAGGGGGTTTAATTTACACCGTTTCCCTGTATTATGTCCAGTAGAACCCATCCGCCACACAGGCACTGCTCAAACTTGGCTTGAGTTTTGTGGGAGATTGAGGGGTATGAGAAAAGAGAAGTGAACGAGAAATGAAATATAAAACTTGAGCACAACTACAGTGCCCACACTGTTCTCTCATGCTGATTAAAAGAGAGAGAACGCTGATGAAAGACCTGCATATGTTGTGTTATTGATGCTGGTGTTCTTCCAGATCATTTGTCCAGCACCAGAGCACCACTAACCAACATAAACCAGCATGAAAATAGTCAATTGCACCCTTGGCAAAGATCTTCTTTTAAGCAGTGAAATTGGAGAACAAAATCAAATAAAACGACTTGGATTAGAAGCACTCTGTACTTTTGGTATACAATGATCCCAGAAAGTATTTGAACACTTAAAAAACACCTAAAAAAACTAATATCCTTTATATATATATATATGTCATCTGCAGAATATTTGAACAGTACATCATTGAAAAATCTTTCGTTCAAATAAATGAAATAATATTTTAATATATAATATTTTGTTGTCTGATGCAATGAAACTCAGACCTTTTTAAATTTCAAAATACATGTTGCAGACGGCAAAAGAAAAAAAATGGAGAGAGGAAAAAGAGAGGTAGCTGGCAGTCCATCATACTACATCCAATAAATAATGATAAATGAAGAGTAGACGAGACCCGTGAACAGCAAGTTCTGGACGTTCTCTCATAACCGTATGAAGTCCCTGCCTACACCCCCAAACCAAACACTGAGAGCTTTATTATTTCCACTCAAAAGGAAGAAAAAACATTCCCTGGAAAACCCCTTCAGGCGCTCAATACTCGGTTTCTGTCCCAGTGAGGTACTGCAACTGCCCTGTTAAAGGAAAATTAAAGCTACTTTATACTTTTATACTGCATACCTTTATTTATTCAACTAGTGGCACTTTTCTTATCTTGCTTGCAAACTGTAGTTGCTTGAATAAAATAAGCTTTTAAGTTCAAGTCAAAATTCGAAATCAGCACAAATGTGATTTCTTGAATACAGAACTAAGAGCCGTGGTCCTCCGGGGTAAACAGGTTGCGTAATAGATTAGCATTTTAAAGAGACAACCCAAGTGAATGTGTCTAAAGTGTGGTAGAGTGTATGCTCATGCAACACAAGTGGGCATAATTTACAGAGGAAAAAAAATGCAGAGGTACCCAGTGGTTGAGGTCATATATACTAAATGGGACCTAGCATAACCCCTCAGGTCCTACTCGCCCCACTCTGTGCATGCCTCGACTCTGGGTTGCTGGCACAGGAGGCGGGGGCGCTAAAAATACGCTAAAGACTGCTGTCGCAAGTCGGCTCTTGAGATCAGGGGAGTGAGGTTTACCTGCATAGTTCTCACTTACACTAGCTATGAATCTACAGCAAAATAATCTGTATTTAACACAATTTCATGAGATTAGGTAGTGCTGGGCGGTTTGACCAAAAATTTATATCACAGTTTTTTTTTTTTTCAGAATTAAGCCGGTTTTCCGGTGCATAATCAGGTGTTCGAAGCATTTTCTACTGGTTGAGAGAGGAATTACATCAATAAATTGACTTAGGATGGTCTTTTTTTATTGTCATTAGTTAATATTGTAGAATAGAATAGCACCCAGTATAACCTAAAATTGTTATTTCTTAACATTCTAATAACATTCTTATAACTAAGCAAGAATGTTAATACAATGTCTAAAAAAATTGGACGTTTTGAGAACATTTAGGAATACCATAATTATCAGGGACGTGCACAGACATTTTGAGGGGCAGGGGCTCAAGTGTAAAAAAGGGCACTTCTCATATTTTTTAAAAAATGTATTTTACTTTTTTTAAACAAAAAAGTATATATATTAACACAACTCTAATATTTTTTAAAAAAATATTTAAAAAGTTAATTAATTTTATCTTCCTCAAACTCATACAATTGTTTAATTTTCAAAAGATGTCTACAAAAGAATCAGTTCACACAGAAATCATGGTCTCCTTCATAGGTTTATAGAGCAGCAAAGGAAACCATGCCACAGTGTGTCAATGAAGTACATATTTGATACACCTGATGGTGACATGGACTTCACATTTGAGGGAGAACTGTATCATCATCAAATAAAACCTTCAAAATCCACATTTCGAGTTTGTTTCTGTTTGCATCTAGATTTCTTCTAAATTCACCAATTTAGATTTCTAAACTTCAAGGGAAAGACTCTTGATGTAGCTATGCAAGTCATTAACTTTAATAATAAGAATTTTAGGCCATACAAATGGATTTTCGGATTTTTTCGGATCCGGAATTTCCATACAAGGCCATAAAATTACATTTAGCCACGTCTTAAATTGATATGCTCATTCATTTATTATCACTATACAATTTTTCGGCCTAAAACGATATCAAGTTTGAGTCAAAATCGTCAATACTCAATATCAATATAGAGTTCGATAAACGTTCGATAATGTTTATGTGGCAAAACAAAAGCACAACGAAACTCATTTGAAGCGCGCGCCTCACGGACTGTTTATCCGCTCGGCTCAAAGTCAAAACGGCAGCGCGAACTCACTAGAGGTGACGCGTTTACTCTGATCGGCGCTTCAGAACTCCTAAACTGATATTTAGATACACTATGCATTAAATATGTTTGTTTGACAGGGAAACTGTGCGCAAATAGTAATATGTATTTTCTTAAAATATAAAATAAAAAAGCACCCCAGAAAAAAGGGCACTTTCTCTCCAGGAATAAAAAGGGCAGGTGCTCAAGCCCCCTTTGATGTCTATGTGTGCACGTACCTGATAATTATAACTTAATGGGAACGTTATGAAAACGTTCTTATAACCTAAAATTGTTAGCTGGGGAAGAGGAGAGA